ATGTCAGTGAGTAGGTGGTGAGACAAGTGGAGAAATTCCTCTGTGCCCTGAAGCTGAGCCAGGTGGGTCTTGGCACAGTGCTTAGCAGCAGTGTAGAGCTCAGGATCACTGTGCCGATCTGCCAGCCACATCACCTGAAGGCAGTTTCCCACCTGTACTGTGCGGGCCAAAAACCGAGAACACTCTTCAAAGAGAGATGTCAACTGGTACATGTCTGACACCTCATAAATTTCCTGCAGTTCATCAGCTCGAAGTTTCACAGTCCCGTGGTAGATATAATCCACCAGGAGCTGGAAAACAGACTCGCTGATGTCCTGCAACACAATCACACGGTTGTGGGCCTCCTTCAGGTTGGAAGTGAACATGGATCGGAAGAAGCAGCTCTGAGCAGAGAGGACCAGCCGGTGGAGCTGAAACTCACGGCCTTCCACTGAAATGGTGACATCAGCAAAAAGCTCCTCTTCCAGACACAGTTTCATAATGCCCTGAGCCACCCGGCCTGAGTGGGACCGGTCTTTGAAAGTGTAGTTCACAAAGTAGTTTTCATCCATGGACGCTCCTGGCTCCTCGGGTGATTCCATAGTGGAGGACCTCTCTCTCTGCCAGGTGTCTGCAAAGCAACACCACTCTCAGTAACTGTGGGAGTCCACAACCATAGGCTGTGAATTCAACTGTCAACTTAATGAGAAAGGTAGGAGAAAGGAAAAATGAGAGCCAACCGGGACTAAATTGGTTTTAGTATTGGCCCTGCCAACAAAGCCAATCCATAGTCTTCTTCAAACAAAACCGGATTAATTCTCCTGCGGTACCATCCCACCCCCAATGAAATCAACAAAAGTTTCTATTTTGAGTGTACCCCAAAACACCACTAAACCTTCCACTCCACGATGTAACAAGGGACTTGGGATTTTTGACTAACGCAAAAGAAAATAGATCCAGGAAACCTCCGCTCTGAAAGTCTCACCAAATTTACTAGTAGAAAGCGAGTGAGACGAAGGGCAGCGAGATCAGGCATAAGAGCCCCACATCCTTGTGGCTGGGGACTCTCCTCCCCCGCGCACAGAGTTCAGATCTTTCATTAAGGGGCTTAGTTGGAGACGCCCGACAGCCTCACTTTTCCTTTCTCAGCTGCTACCCTCCAGCTTCCCCGCTTGTCCTGATGACGTGCCACAGCTCCGTCTTTGTACTCGAGACAGAGACCAGTCGTGCCCAGGCCAGGGTACCAAGAGGCACATCGCCCTACAGAGTACCCCAAAACCACCTGAGTCGCCTGGGAAACGGTCAACGGGGAATCTTGCATTCCCTGCCAGCCCACCCGCCCTCGCCCAAAGCTCAGTTGAAGGAGCTGGGGGAAGGGAGCAGATCAGAGACCTGAGAATCCTTCCCCTCCTCTCACCTGTCAGGCTCTCTAGGATGTTCGATTTATCTCCCGCCTCCGCCACAACGAGCTAATATTGAGTTTACCTCACCGTTTCTCCACCTGTTCGTCGCGTTTTCTCACCTGCGTTCCCTCCTTTCATCCCGGAGGCCAGAACACGGAACCTCTGCTTCCGGCCTTCTGTGTCTGCCCGGAAGAAGATCTGCTACGCACTTCCGTTTCCGGTCCGTGCCCTTGGGGCTCCGTGTCCTGTTAGTTTTTCCTCGGCGGCCGGGTTTGCATTCTGGAAACATGGCGGCGGCGAGGGGCTGCTGGCGGGGGCTTGTGGGGGCCGCAACACTGGCCCGGGGTGAGCAGGGGGAAACTGGCTGGAACTGGGGACCGGAGCAGCGGTTCACCCAGTGTCGGAAGCCCCTCGGGCCTCACTCTGCGCACCCATGCTTTTATCTCCCGGTGCAGGGGCCAGGCGACCCTCGGCGCTGCTGCTGCCAGTGAGGAGGGAGAGCGCCTCGGCCGACACGCGCCGTGAGTATGTGCGGGCCGCGCTCTTCAGACAACTGACCCTTCGTTCACAGCCGTCCGATAGCCCCTGCGTCCTCTTGGCAAATCCCTGCTTGTCCTTGGAGACTCACCTGGAGTGGTCCCCCCCTCCCTTAGGCTTCTCTGTCATGGCCCTAATGCTCCTCATCCGTTTCCGTGATTCCCCTTTCCTTTAAATAAAATTTTCTACTTTGGGTTCCAGCATCCAGTAATAATAGTTTACCTTGAGTTCCAGCTGTTTGTCGGGCACATTCACTGCACGTTTTCTTTCTTTTACTTGCTGTACAGTCATTTCGTATAGGAGGACATCAAAATTCCTTTCTTCTCATGATGATAATGTTAAGCTATCTCATAAGCATAACCACTAAAACTTGTTGAGATCTGAAGTGGCAACCAAATTGGAAAACAACTACTTTAAACTTTTATTTTAAAACATTATTTTAGTATTAGATTAATGTTCGAGATAACCTTATGAAGTAGATGGTATTGTGATCCCCGTGTTACATAGATCAGGGTATAGCCTAGAGCTGTAGAACTAGTGACTTCTGGTGTTGGAATCCAGGTCTGTCTGTGCGCCACACCAGAGAATGTTTTAGCATTCTATTGTCTGCCGTCTATGATATGTGGGTGCCCTGATTTAGGGTTGTTGCCACCCTCTCCCCCTGTACTAAAAAGCCCACAGAAAGCATTAAGGTCCCCACCTTTCAGGAGCACATAGTCTGGTAGGTGAGCTAGAACATAAGACTACTTTAGCAGCTATGTGTTTAGCATGAATGCAGGTAGTATGCAGGAAGAACCACCAGAGGAGTTCAGGGAAGGGATAGAAACCCCAGGTGAGGATTTATGGGTTGTGTTGTGTAGTTGAGATAGCATTTTCCCTGAGTCTTGTGACTACCCCACTTTCATGTCTTAACCGTTCTGTAGGGTTGACAGGGAGCCCTGGATACTGAATGCAGGGCTGGCAGATACCATCTCCGTTCTTCTGCTTTTCCTTCCAGCCACTGTCAGACCACGGAACGATGTGGCCCATAAGCAGCTCTCAGCTTTTGGAGAATATGTGGCTGAAATCCTGCCCAAGTATGTCCAACAAGTTCAGGTAATACTTTCTGTTACCGTGCAATGGCACAAATAGTTTGCGTCTGCGTACTAACATAAATATTGGTAGCTCAAGTCCACCCAGCACCACTGTGGAAGAAAAGCCTGGAGAGCTGCTTCTATAAAGATTGTCCAACGGAGTTCTGGTGGCTTAGTGGCAGAAAGCTGCACTGCTATCCCAGAGGGGTGCAGTTCAAATTCACCAGACGCTCTGCTGGAGAAGGAGGGACAATCTCTTCCTGTACCAGTCAGATCCTATTTGATGGTACACACACAGAAATAATAATAAAGGTTATCCAAGAAAACTGCTAGGACAGTTTGATGATGTAACACAGATAGTTGCCATGAGCTTGAATCAAGTCATACTGAAACAAGTTTGGTTTTGGTTTTTAAAAGGGTCAAGAATGAACCACCTTCCTTGAGCATGTAGTTTGAAAGAATCGACAGACTTCGGTTATCCCAAACCTGGGCTTAAACCAGTTGGTTCCAAGTGAAGTTAGCTGCATCCCATGGGACTCTTTGTTCCTGCTTTTCACTCATTTCCATGCTTGCAGGTGACTTGCTTCAATGAGTTAGAGATCTGTATCCATCCTGATGGAATCATCCCAGTGCTGACTTTCCTCAGAGATCACACCAATGCACAGTTCAGATCCTTGGCCGACTTAACAGCAGTGGACATCCCAACCCGGCAAAACCGTTTTGAGGTCAGTCAAAAAATTTGAGACTGCGGAGTAAAAGAGGGGGAAAGGGTCAGTTTCAGATGATAATCACCTATGGGGGTCTTAGTCTTTTTCATTTTGGTAAGTTCTCAACATTTAGCTAGTAATGTTTACTACGCATCTACTAATTTGTAAATTTTTGTGGATTGATGTCAGAAAGTTGCTTTAAAAAGACAGGAGAGACACTTATCCCTTGCCTCTACGGCGTCTCTGAGAAGAGAGAATATTTGTGTTGAATCTTCAAGAATGACCAGAGTCAAGAATTAGAGCAGTGAGGGTGGAGTGGAGGAGGACAAAGGAGACATCCCAAAGTCATTACTACTAGCAAATACAGGCATGCTGAGAGCTCTGGCCTCAGCAGCTGTGGCCTAGGGCGTAAGTTGAGTTTATAGTTGAAACAAGTGCATATAGCTCTTGGTTAACCTTTACTGTGAGGAGGGGCTCTGCAGTTAAATCATTTGGCTGGTAACCAAATACTCAGCAATTTGAACTCACCATCTGCTCTGAGGCAGACAGCAAGACATTCTGCTTCTGGAAGGATTTATGTCTTGAAAACCATAGAGTAGTTCTCCACTATCCCAGTTAGTAGGTTTAGTGCCATTAAAACCTTCGAAACTTTTTCAGTGATTTAAAACAGCATGTACAGCAAGTGAAAGTGATTGTGATGAGCCTGTTGCCTGTAGGGATGTTCAGCCACTTAAAAGTTGGAACAGATTTACATACATAATTTCAAAGGGAAAATATATGAGTTGTCCATAAATTAAATGTTTATAACCTGAAGACTTACTATAATGAGACATGAAGGAGCATTTTCATGTTTAAAGCTTTAGAACAGAAGGCAGGTTCTCAGGGTAGGAGCCTCACCTTCTGTGTCCTCTGTTGATACTCCCCTTCCGGGACCTGGCTTGATCTTCCAGTTCCCTCTGTTCTCATTAGATTGTCTACAACCTGCTGTCCCTGCGTTTCAACTCTCGGATCCGTGTGAAGACCTATACAGATGAGCTGACACCCATTGAGTCTACTGTCCCTGTGTACAAGGCAGCCAACTGGTATGAGAGGGAGGTGAGTTACTGAAAATGCTGGGCCTGCCTCTGGGCCAGAGTTGTAGAACTGGGCAGAACAACTGGATGCCCGAGGGCCTTTCTTTTCTAGATCTGGGACATGTTCGGAGTCTTCTTTGCTAATCACCCTGACTTAAGAAGGATCCTGACAGACTATGGCTTTGAGGGACATCCATTCCGGAAGGACTTCCCCTTGTCTGGCTATGTTGAGGTAGGAGTCTTGGACATGGGGCAGCAGTCAAGGGAAGGGACCAGTAAGGAACCTGGGCATGACAGGAAAGGAGCTATGGTGGTTTAAGGGCATGGACTCTGGATTCGAATCCTAGATCCGTTATTATGTATAATCTTGAGTGAGTTACTGTATAATGCAATGCATCTGTTAAATGGCAATAACAGTAATTAATGGATTTGTGATACTTAAATTACAACTTTGTAAAGCTTGTGTATTATAAATGTTCGACTGAAGTTAGCCAGTATTGTAATCATCAAGATTACTTTCAGGACACACTTCAATATCTCCCCAAGCCTTCAAAGTGGAGGGCTATGTTATCCTGCCCTGGACCCCTGGGAAGGCAAGTGACAGAGGAAGAAACTCAAGGATGGCCACTGAAGCAGGACCAGTACCATGTGGTTGTAGTGGTGGTGGTATTATTTGTTGTCGAGTCAGAACCAACTCATAGCTGATGTTCCAGCAGGTTTTCAGAAGCAGTAAATCACATGGGCCAATCAGCTTACACTTGATCGTTAACAAAATCATAAATGCCCAAACAGTTTACACCAGACTTTCAAGTAAATCAGAACAATTTACCCTCTAGAATTCAACTGACCCAAGCTGTAGACTCTTAGTCAGGACCCAACCAACTTCTAAAACACAGAGGCCCGCCCAACTGGTCCTGTTTACTTAAGCAAGAGGCTTCTAGCCCACAGTTGATTGTTAATGAAATCAAAATGGCCAGTTGGCTTTATTGACTATGCAAAGGCATTTGATTGTGTGGCTCATAACAAGTTGTGACTGACATTGAGAAGAATGGGAGTCCCAGACCACTTAATTATGTTGATGCAGAACCTATATCTGGACCAGGATGCTGTTGTGTGAACAGAGCAGGGGAATACTGCATGGTTTAGAATTGAGAAGGGAGTGTGTCAGGGTTGTATTCCCTTTCTGTACCTATTCAGTCTGTATACTTAGCAAATTATCCAAGAAGCTGGACTCTGAAGGAGGAGTATGGCATCAGGATTGGAGGGAGACTCATCCATAACTTGTGTTACACAGATGATGCAACCTTGCTTGCTGAAAGTGAGGAGGACTTGAAGCGCTTGTGGAAGATCAAGGAATGCAGCCTTCTGTTTGGATTGTATCTCAATGTCGGAGAAAACACAAAGATTCTTAGCACAGTATTGATAGGCAACATCATAATGGATAGAAGATGGAAACTGTCAGCTGCTTCATCTTGCTTGGATCCACAATTAACATCCTTGATACCAGCAGTCAGGAAATAAGGAGACGCCCTGCACTGGGGAAATCTGCAGTTTGGGACTTATTGAGGAGTAAATGATGTCAGTTTGAAGACTAAGGTGCGTCTGGTTCAAGCCATGGTCTTTCTGATTACTTGCTGTGTCTGAGAGCCAGACAGTGAAGGAGGGTAACAGAAAAAGAATTGACCCCTTGGAGCTGTGGTGCTGGAGAAGAACACTGAACATCCATGGACAGCCAAGAGAACGAACAGATATGTGTTGGAGAGAGTGCGACCGGGGTGCTCTTTTGAGGCAAGAATGATGAGGCTTTGCCTCACATACTTTGGGCATGTTGTTAGGAGGGGCTATTCCTTGGAGGACATGATGCTGGGAAGGGTGGAGGGTCAGTGAAGGAGAGGAAGACCCTCGGCCAGGTGAATTGACATGGTGACTGCCACAATGGGCTCTTGTGTGTCAGAAAGTGTGAGGATGGCAGAGGATAGAACAGGGTTCATATTTTTGTTAATAGGGTCACTTGTGAGTTGTATTCAACTTGACAGCACCTAGCAACAACAAAAAATCTCATAGAAGTAGACTGCCCATCTTTCTTCCTCAGAGAAGCTGTCCTTGGGTTGGCTGTGCTGCTACTTAACTAACACGAGGCCTCCAGAGCTCCCCAGCATGTGACTACAAGACCCTTATCAGTCATTTCAGTGGGTTACTGCCATCCATGTGTTGCCAGGTTTTTGGTAGCAAGATGATGAGCTGTTATATACACGCATCATTGTCATTTTAGAGATGCTGAGGTGTGTGGCAGTGTTATCTGGCACTCTAGTCTCCCTTTTCTCCATTTCTCTCTCAAGGTACTTGAGTCACAAGTACTCCCCTCCTTTCACTCAGCCCTGCTGTCCCCCTTATCTAGTCTGCCTCTTCCCACCAGCACCTGTTTGTTCCTGCCTCACCTAGCTCCTGGCAACCCTGCAGGACAGAATAGAACTTCCCCATGCGGTTTCCTAGGCTGTAAATCTTTACAGGAAGACTGCTTCCTGTCTCCTGAGGAGTGGCTGAGTTTGAACCACCAACATTTTTGTTAACTAAGTGTTTAACTCACTGCTCCCCAAAGGCTCCTAATAACAAGCCCTGCCCAACTTACTCTGTTGTAGAGCTTGGTAGTGCTAACACCAAGGCCACAAATGCTGGACTTGTCTACTTGCTTAGTTTTAATCTTTTTTTTTTTGGCTACTCATTGTTCTCCTGAGCCTGGACACATGCTTGTCATCATCTTACAAGAGCTTGTAGATGCATCAGCAGGGATCTGCTCTGCTGGACTGGGCACTCTGAGCTTGTGATGCCATGCTAGTGGGCAGGAACCCCGACAGATGGCAGGGTGTGCCTCTTTGGAATCTTACAGACTGGCTGGCAGCGATGTGATGGGAAGAGTTGTTGACAGAGCCTGGGACAGGTGTCCTGGAGATTGAGGGAAAGGTCTGGGGCAGTTACTCATAGTCTGTGACAGTGGAATCCTTAGTGGCTGTGACTGTGACTTGGCCTTATCAGTGCTCAAGCTTATCTTTTTCTCTTGTAGCTTCGCTATGATGATGAGGTGAAGTGGGTGGTGGCTGAGCCGGTGGAGTTGGCCCAGGAGTTCCGCAAATTTGACCTCAACAGCCCCTGGGAGGCTTTCCCTGCCTATCGCCAGCCCCCTGAGAGTCCCAAGCTTGAGGCAGGGGACAAAAAACCTGAAGCCAAGTAGCTCCATGGAAGGCATGTGGGCGTACTCAGAAGCGCCTTACCTATAATTAAGTGTTCATGTAAATAAAGTCCTTCTTAGACTCACTATGTCTCTCTGTGTGTAACGGAAAGTGATGCGTTGGCTCGGCGGAGGAGACGCTGGCAGGGGTTCTTCCCTGCTCCCTCCACGCACAGTGAATAGACCTGCAGGTCATATGTAGAAGTCTTCACCAACCACAGGGCTCAGGCTGGTACGGTAGGCTCTCCAGAGCACTCAAGGGGTCTCAATAACTGCTGCAGAAAGCCCTTCATCACAGCGGACTGGTGACAGCGATGCCTTCAGGGGCCTGAGGGACTAGTGAAACTCCCACTGACCCCCATGACACCCGGACATCCTCCACAAGGCTCTGGGGCAGCAAGAGGGGCCTCAGCTCACAGTCAGTCTTGACCCTGCTCCCTCAGCCTGACCGCCCATCAGGCCTGGCTGGGAATCTTCCTGGGCTCTGGCCTGAACTGAGAATATAGAGAGACAGACATGGTCCCAGGCTGGAGCAAAACCACCAAGGAGCTGGCAGCTTTTGTCTGCTGGGGCACAGTACTCCTCAGCCCAGATGTCCCAGCATCTGGCCAGCTGACCATGCACCTGATGCGCTCAGCTCCCGAGGGGCTCCGTAGAGCCTGGACCAGGCGGGCCTCAGCAGGAAGTTTTAAAGGTGAGAACAGACAGTGAGTAGTGCTACTGCCAGGGCTTTTCTGACCTTGGGAGGGCCAAGTGAAAACTGTTTACTACCAAACACCTTTTTCCTATTAACTAAGCATCCAACCCATCTGGGCAGGAGCAGGGTAAGGGCCTGGCGAGAGAGCCAGGCCCCTGCCAACAACCTGAAACTGCCCATTCTGAAGGATGGACGAGCTCCTGAGAGGCCATGACCAGCCCCTCCCTGTTCAGCACTGGAGACTGACATGCAAAGCGGGGACTGGCTGAGTGGAAAGTTGGAGCTGTGTGTGGCCAGGCAATAGGGGACCAGACTGCCGCTGGGACAGACTGGACGTGGCAGGATACAGCAGGGAGGTTGTGTCGGTCCTGGCTTGGCTCAGGTGGCTGTCTCCCTCGAGTGGGCTGGAACCCAGTCCCAGGCAGGTACGAGTCTTCAGGGTGGGGTGCATAGGAGCCAAGACAGGCTGCTGGCAGTTCCAGGCAGCTTGCACTGCGCCTTAGCAGGGTAGGGGGACTGGAGGCCTGCTGATTTACAGGCGGGTGTGCTGGAGTGGGAGCGTAGTGGTGTGGGATCGCCCCCAGAACTAGGAAGGTTAGGGGACAGCCAGGAGAAGTAGCCGTAGGATTCCTTCAATACTGGTTCTGGACAGGGCTGAACCCTGGGCTTATTCCAGGTGGTAACTAAAGCAAGGCTTCATGTCTTTGGGACTGGGACAGTTCATATCAGAGCTGTGTGACACTCTAGAGTGTGCAAAGAGGAAGCTTCAACAAGTATCCTCGACTGTCTGATCCTCCCTGCCTTACACTCGATCCTCTGCTGAGGAACAAGGAATGAATGTGTACTTCCTAAAGGAATGCCCATCCTCTGGGGCTCGTCACTGACATTGTTCTGGGTTGCACTGTCCCCAGATTATAGGAGGCAAGGGAGGTGAAGGGTTGTGACCAATGGGAGCAAAAAGAGTTCAAGAGATTGTTGTGGTATCTGGGATGATTTGGGATCACAACACCTAAGTCTAGGAGAGTGAATGTGTGTGTGTGTTGCAGGAGATGGGCATGTGAGTCAGTGTTCCAGTGTATGTGTGTGTGTGTGTGTGTGTGTGTGCGCGCGTGCGCGCTGCAGGAGATGGGCATGTGAGTCAGTGTTCCAGTGTATGTGTGTGCGCGCGCGCGCGCTGCAGGAGATGGGCATGTGAGTCAGTGTTCCAGTGTATGTGTGTGCGCGCGCGCGCGCTGCAGGAGATGGGCATGTGAGCCAGTGTTCCAGCTCTTCTCTAGAAAGAACTATGTGACTCTAGGAGGCTGGGATGTTCACATTGCATGATAGCATGCCGGGGATCCAAGTACCTGACTTTTCTCTGCTGTTCCAGGGCAGCCTGTGAACATGGGAGGTGATCTGCAGGAGCCAGAGGCACCAGAAGTGATGTCTGAGGTCTTTCTTCCAGCCTGGGACATGGGGCAAGTGTGTCCAGAGGTCCCTAAGCTCAGGGTTGGGGAAGAGACCACCAGAGTGGGTCCCACTGCTTGTTAATGCCCTGGGCCCTGTCCAATGCCCAGCCCAGCCCACCCTGATACTGCTCCCCTTGCAGCTCCTCTGGACGGGGCTAGAACTAGATGTCACTGGGCAGCTGCACATTCAGGATGAGAAGCTGGCGTCTACCTGTCCAGGCCACCGTCTCAGGCTCCTCCTGCAGCACCACATGCTCAGCAACGTGGATGGTGCTGAGCAGCAGATGCAGCAGCTTCAGCAGTTGTGAAAGGGGCCTCCTGTAAGTCCTTGGGAGTTCAAACAGCTGCTCCCCACAGTCCTGTCCCGCGTCTATCAGCTCCACAACGCTGGCGAGGAACGGGGGCGCTGGGCCCAGGTCTTTGCTCATCTGGCACAGGAAACACTCTGGTACCTGTGCAAGGGTTTCTGCCCCCAGAACCAACCACATGCTCTGGAGCCCTGGGCCTTGATGCTTGACCCTTCTGACTGACCCTCCCCTTCCGTGTGCCTCTGGACTCCAGCATTCTCATGTAGAGCCGGGACTCCCAATTGCACCTGCTGCTTTTCACTGTTCAGTTCTCTGGGCTTGCTTGGATCCCTGGATCTCCACCTCTCTCTGCCCTCCCCGCCTTCTCTTCTGGCCCTGCCTGGCTGACAGCCATGGCTCTGGGTTGCAGGCAACGAGCTGAGGGAAGAGAGAAGGGCTTGTGTGTGTTGGGATCAAGTTGAAAGTATGTTTCAGAGAAGCTGAAAGGAAACTTGCCCCAAGAAAAGAGATCCTAGTAAACCCCTCCACCACCTACCTAGCAGATGGGAGAGGTTCTGTCAACTTGATAAGGATCTTGTAAGTTCTGAGGTGCAGTCTATATGTGAGTGTCCCTTTTACCCCCAACCGAGGGCTTAGGGTCCATGAACCTGTCGGTTTTCTATTTGGACTAGAATAGACTGGACTTTTGGAGATCATGTAAAAGGGTGATCTCTCTCTCTGTGGGTTGCAGTCCTAATTATGTGTGGCACTTCCCATAAAATACTGTTGTGGCTTCCTGGACTTCTGTCCCTCTATGTCAAAACCAGCTCTGTGCAAACCACCCTCGGTAGGAAGGCAGCGTCAGGGCAAGACGGCATCAACTCCTCTCTCCATCCCCACGCCCTTCGGGAAGATGGAATGTGATGCTGCCTTGAGTCCCACACCTCCAGTGCAGTGGGATCTAGCAACAAGAACGAGGTCATCAGTCAAATGGAGAAGAATCAGATCCACTGAAAGGCCAAACAAAACCGAATGGAAACGTGTTAGGTGTGTGGGGCTCACTCAGGCGGATTCCCATGGCCTTGCCCTCCCACGGCCTGACCTAGTCCTGCCCCACTCCGCCCCCACCCCACCAAGGGTGAAATCGGCGGTGTCAGGACAGAGCACAGAACCCCAAGGAGATAGGCGCCGGCGAAGGTCCACTTTATTGGCAACGCCAGCGGCGCTGACCAGGCCGTCATGCGTGCGCGGCAGGAGCTCTGGCCTGGGCCGGGCATGCAAGCTCCTGGGGCGCTCCGGGCTCAGAGTTCTGGAAGCCCAATGCCCGGCGGGCGGGCAGGGATGGGAAAGGCAGGCGCAGCAGGGGCAGCAGCAGGTTCGGGGTCAGGGTCAGGGTAGACCAGGAAGCCGGAGAAGGTGATGTACTTGCCGTGGTTGCTGTAGGCACCGTAGCCGTCGTGGTCGTGGCTGAGCAGCCAGACAGCGTCGCCACGCTGCAGGGCCAGCATCACGCTCTGGCTCTGCATCTCGCGGCGCCTCGATGCGCCGTCATCGTATATCATGGCCTGCACCTCGTCGCGGTTCTTCATCAGCTTCACCGACAGCGTCTTGCGGGGCATCTTGCCCAGCGTGAAGGAGAAGAAGTAGGCGCCGGGCAGGCGGCAGCGGAACACGCCGGCAGCCGCGTCGAAGTCGCCGCCGATGTTGACGAACTCGGTGTCGAAGGCCAGCGGCCGGTGGTGCGGCCCGGGACCCGCGTCCGAGCCCACCAGACTGCGCGTGCGCGCCGCCGAGAAGGCCGAGCGCGGCTCCGGGGGCGCGGGCGGGCCCTGGACAGGCGCGTCGGCGTCGGCGTACACCAGGTAGCCGCTGAAGGTGGCGCCCGGGCTGCCCAGCGCGTACTGAGGCGCGCCGTGCAGCCGCAGCCACACCGTGTCGCCGTAGTCGAGCTGCAGCATGGCGCTCTGGCTGGCCGCACGCCGTGCGCTGGGGCGCCGCTGCTCGTCGAAGGCCAGCGCTTGCACCTCGTCGCGGTTGCGCACCAGCATCACTGACAGGCTCTTATGCGGAGCCTTACCCGCTGTGAAGGAGAAGAAGTAGGCGCCCGGGACACGGCAGCGGAACTGGCCAGTGGCCGCGTCGAAGTCGCCACCGATGTTCACGTACACCTTGTCGAAGGTCACTGCCATCTCCGACGTGCCCTCCCACGGAGTGGTGCGCGCCGCTGAGAAGGCGGAGCGCAGCTCCGATGAGCCCGTGGCTGGGCCCAGAGCCCAGCAGGCTGAAACCAGCAGGCCCAGCAGCAGCAGGGTCAGCATGGTGCCTGGGAGGGAGAGAAAGGAGTTGAGCAGACACCGCGTCTGGACATCCAGCCTTCATGCACAGGGAGGCTTGAATTCTCTTCCCAGCCCCGCCCTTGACTTTCTCCTGTGTTTCCTAACGCACTTAGACTGGGTCAGTGATTCTCAATCTCCAACCAGCCTCAGCGTGACCTGAAGGGCTTGTTCAAACCCACTTTGGTGCTGCTTACCCCTAGATTTCCAGTCACCAGACCTGGAGTCAGAAGCTTTGGTGGCGCTGTGGTTAATGCATTTGGCTGCTTACTGAAAGGTAAGTGGTTTGATCTCCCCCGCAGAGGGTGGCTGCGAATCCAGATATTCTCTATTGTGTTAGGGAGGAAAGGATGAGTCTGGACTAGGGCCTAAAACTTGGCATTTCTAGCAAGATCCCTAGTGAGCCCTAATGGCTTCTTGTTGTTGCTGTGTACCATAGAGTCTGAACCGACCCTTAGCTGATTTCCGGCGGATTTCCAAAGATTGCCCATCTTTCTTCTGTGGAACCACAGGTGGCCTTGAACCGTGTGCCTTTGGAATTGCAGCACATCTTGCCACAAGGCCACCAGAGCTCCTTGGTGGTAAGGAATTATGCTGCCAACCCAAAGGCATGCGATTCTAATCCACCAGCTGCTCCATGGGAGAAAAATAGCCAAGCTCCTCCATGAGATGTACTAGTTCTGAAAACCTGCTGGAGTGTAAGCTATGAGTCACTTCCAGCCAACTGTACACAACGCCAACAGTAATTCTCCAGGTGACGCTGATGCTGCTGGTCCAGTGAGCCTATGTTGAGAGCCTCTGAATTAAGCTAATTATTATTCAGCTTTTTATTTTCATTTGTAAGCACCATACTAAAGTAGATAGAAATTTACAGCTGTCTGCCACAAATATAAGCACAAATGTTCTGTTAAAGGGACCTACAGCCTTATCTGTCAGAGTCATCTTCTTATCTTCCCCATGGCAGCCAGGGGTCTTAGAAACACAGGGACATTGAGGGGGTGCCTCCGAATTTCCCTCAGCCTCCATTCTGTGGCATTACCCTGTGGCTCATCTGAGCTCTTGGCCTGCCCCTCAGACACTGGCTTTCTGTCTTAGCATCCTTAGCTGTGGTTTAAGTCATCATGTGGGCAGGAAAGGGAATAGCTGCCCTCTCACTTAGTTAAAGGTTAACTCCCACCCTGGACCTCTAGACTCCTTAGACCCCTTCAGGCACTGAATGGGTCAGAGCAGCTGATCTTTGAGGTAGCTCCCTCTTCCAGTGAAATCAGAGGAAAAGAGAAGGCACCTCCTTCCTACCTACTTGGAGGCTGGTTACAGAGAGGCTGGGGAGAGCCAAGAGCTGCTAAGGCTGGCGGTGGAGAGCAACAATTCCAGCGGGGTTTTGGCAAACCCGTGGATCAGCACTTTTGTCCCTCAGTGGGGGTGGAGTGGAGAGGACAGACAGTCCTGGGCTCAGGTTCCTGATTCCACCACTTCCATGCTGGGAAACCCTGTGGAAATCCCTTCACTTCTCTGAGCAAGGGCTTGTTCTGTGGAAACGAAGAAGAAACCTGCCTCAGCAGCTTGCTGTGAGGATGCCCTGAGCTATCGAGGTGACCTGGTTTGTGAACAGCAATGCTGCCCGAGTGTGCAAAAGCTTCCACTCTTGGGCCTGATACAAGTGATCTGATAAAGTTCTTGGCATGTGGGGTTAGAGACTCAGTAACTTCTACCCCTGGAAGCTTGGGAAGACACTGCTTGACTCCCAGGAGTCACTGTCCAACTGTGGCTCCAATTCAGAGCTTTGTGCTTCCTGAGACATGGGCTTTGGGACTTGAACACTCAAAGGACAAAACAGGAAAGAAGATGACTTGGAGACAGCCTGAGATGTAGGCTTCCATTAGAGAAACTGTGGGAGTGTGTGTGGATATGTGTCTCCCGGGAGGCTGAGGCTTGCGGACACGGGTCACCAAGTGTAGCTATGCAGACTTGTCCTGTATAATAAGGTCACCAAAGGGTAGGTGGAAAATGAAATCTAGTCCTCATTCTGCTTGCTCAGCTAAGTGGACCTACAGCCTCTTGGGGGAGAATATGCCTTTATAATATTCTCGTGCTGGAGACCTCAAGCTGAACACCGCCCAGAGGAAGTCCCTACAGGAAAGGGGACAGAGGGCATCAGCTAGGGTGAAGATAGTACCTCAAGAATGTCCAGTGCATCCCCTTTTAATAAACTCTTTGGGGCATACCTGATGTTCCAGCAAACCTGCGGGATGGGTACAGATTCTCCCATCTTGTGGATGAGAAAGTGGAGGCCACAGAGGGGAGAGTGTCACCCTTCCCCTCATTCAACACTGAGGCAAGTCTTGAACCCACGTCTTTGAAAATCTAGTGTACTTTCCTCTCTATGACCATACTTCCCTCCTAAACAAAGGTATCCTGGCCAAATTGTGCTGTGTGCCCTGCCTCGGTTTCTCCTGTTGCAAAAATGGAGGGGAAGATAAGGAGTCTTGGAATCCAAGACATAAGAGAATGAAAACCCAGAACAATTCTTTCTTACTCTGTGGCTCCCTTGGCTGGCTTCCCAGGGGGGCATCTGCACACCCCATCCCTCCAATCTCCCTGCTAAGCTTGATGCACCTGACCAGTGCCAGAAGCTCCCACAGTCACCTATTTCCTGGAGACCTGGGTCCTCATCCTTCCCTGTACCCCCTTTCCCTGAGCAGGTCCCACGTGGGAGTCAGTCGGGTGGGCGTCATAGCCCTAGGGAAGGAAATGGCTGTTTCCCAGGAGGGTCTCAAAATAACCATCTTCAAAGAGAAGAAACTGGGACACAGAGAGCCTGGCGCCAGAGAAGGTGCCGACCCAGAGTCCAGGACCGCCCAGTGTACCGAAACAGCAAGGGATCGAGCCCCATCTCCCGCTGCCACCCTGCAAGCAGTCCTGACAGAGTCCCCTCCCACTTCCCCTGAAAGCCCCTCATCCCTCAAGGAGAGAAGCCTCCCCTTTCATGGAAGAAGCTCATGAACCCTTTCTTGTATGACAAATCACCCCCCCAGTAAGGGGGGGCCCAGGCCCTTTCTGTCCCCAGACCTCCTTTACCCGTCCCTTAGGAGTAAAAGCCCTTGAGCCTCTTTCATGAAAATGCGCCCAGGTCCCCCTGGCAGAGACATGGACCCTAGCCCCGCGCCCCCTCCCCGTCTCCGAGGAAGGAGACACCCCGGCTCTGGCTCTGTGACTCCTCGAGCAGCCCTCACCTGGCGGGGGCGGCCGGCAGGCAGGTCGGTGGGTGCCCGCGCTCGGGCTCCGGGGCTTCGGCTGCGCACTGGGCGCCCGCGCTCGGGCTCCGGGACTTCGGCTCCGGCTGCGCACTGGG